GCTGTCTGCTCTGTGATACAGAGTCCTGATGACTCCTAACTTGTGCTCCAAAGGGTGATGGGAGTCAAACTGCAAATACTGGTCTGTGTGGGTGGGTTTGCGGTACACCTCAGTTTGCAAATGTCCTCTATCAGAGACTGAGACCTCACAGTCCAAGAAAGCCAACCTGCCATTTTTTACATCTTCTCGTGTGAACTTGATGTATTTATCCACAGAGTTGATGTGGTCAGTAAAATGTTGGACTTCCTGAGATTTAATTTTAACCCAGGTGTCGTCAACATACCTGAACCAATGACTTGGTGGTGTCCCTGAAAAGGACGTCAAGGCTCTCTTTTCTACCTCCTCCATGTACAGGTTGGCAACAATAGGAGAAACTGGAGACCCCATAGCACACCCATGTTTCTGCCTATAATATTGCTCCCCATATGTGAAGTAGGTTGACTGCAGGCACAGTTTCAAGAGTTGACACAGTTGTTCTGTGGAAAGTGTGGTCCTGCTGCTCAGAGTGGTGTCTGATTTTAATCTTAAACTGACCACCTCTACTGCATCATCAACAGGAATGCACGTAAAGAGTGATGTGACATCAAAAGAGACCATTGTTTCATCAGTCTCCATGATGACATCCCTCACCTTATCCACAAAGTCCATGGTGTTCTGTATGTGGTGTTCTGAGCTGCCAACTAAAGGGATGAGTACAGACGCCAGATATTTGGAAACATTGTAAGTGACAGAGTTAATCATGCTAACAATAGGTCTTAAAGGTACACCTTGTTTGTGGATTTTAGGTAAACCATACAGACTAGGTGTGGCCTCCCCTGGGTACAGTCTGTGGTACAGAAAACGGTCAATAGCCTTGTCCTGCTCCAAAATTTTCAGGCAATCTATTAACTTCTTCTTGTAACCACTTCCTGGATCTCTTTTCAGAGGTTCATAAGTGTTAAGTCACTAAGGAGTGTCATAACTTTCTCATGATAGTCTTTCTGGTTCAAAATCACTGTGCACCTTCCTTTGTCTGCTGGGAGAATGATGATGTTTTTGTCCTTGCTAAGAGTGGTGAGTGCGTCCCTCTCCTCTCTACTGATGTTGGAAGGTGGTGGTTTGGCATTGCTGAGGCAGGATGAAACTTTGATTCTGAGCTGTTCTGCTTCACCCTCTTTCATTTTGTTGTTGCGGATGGCTGATTCTGTAGCTGTGATCATCTCCACCAGAGGAATTCTACTTGGTGCAACCGCAAAGTTCAGTCCCCTGGCAAGAATCTCTGTCTCCGGCTGGGTGAGCTGTCTGTCAGATAAATTCTTCACCCACTTTTCTGTCTCCCTGGCATGTAATTGACTACTGGAGTGTTGTCCTACACTGAATGTGTTGTTATTGGAATAGTGATGGTGTTGATGAGCTATTAGTAAGTTAAACTTGTTTAACGTACTAATAGTTAAAGCTTTCAACTGGTTGATCCACTCTGAGAAGGTGCTATTTATAAGACTGAGCTGAATACAGCACCTCAGACTGAGGAAGTCTTGTGGATGAGAGACGAAACGTTTCTACATTTTTTTTGTTGTTTTGCTTTTTTTTTTTTTTTTTTTTGAACGTCCAGAGGACCAGATTTAACTTTTTTAGATTTTTCTACCTGGATTATTGAGCAGCATCAGGATAGTTACAGCTTTGTTAATAAAGGTGCCTGTTTGACAACTGGGACAAAACTTTGACTCTGAAATATATTTTTGTTATTACTGTATGGAAAGAAAATAATATTGACATATCGTATATTGCCAGTTATCTTAAAATATGGAGATATTAATTTTAGTTCATATTGCCCAGCCCCAGGGCTTAATTTGTAAACTGATTGATGCTGGAAGTGCTGGAAATTTTGAACAACAGAGATGCAGTTTCCTGCATTCTGGTGTATTTTAACAGATTGTTCTACATTTATCTACATTTGTAAACAGAATTTGGAGAGCAACAGCAGGTTGTGTGTGAATAGAGCAGCTCTGATTCTCTCAGGTGTCAGTGGAGACATTGTTCATACTTTTCATGTTCATACTTTTCAGTTGGCCAACATTTCTAAAAATCCTTTTTTTAATTGGCTTTAAGAAATATTGTAATTTTCTGAGATACTGAATTTGGGGTTTTCATTAGTTGTCAGTTATAATCATCAACATTAAAAGAAATAAACATTTGAAATGGATCAGTCTGTGTCCATCCATCCATTTTCTTCTGCTTATCTGAGGTCGGGTCGTGGGGGTAGCAGCCTAAGTAGGGAGGCCCAGACTTCCCTCTCCCCAGCCACTTGGTCCAGCTCTTCCGGGGGAATCCCGAGGCGTTCCCAGGCCAGAGGAACATAGTCCCTCCAGCGTGTCCTGGGTCTTCCTCTGGGCCTCCTTCCGGTGGGACGTGTCCAGAACACCTCACCAGGGAGGCGTCCAGGAGGCATTCTAACCAGATGCCAGAGCCACCTCAACTGGCTCCTCTCGACGTGGAGAAGCAGCGGCTCTACTCCGAGTCCCTCCCGGATGATCGAGCTTCTCACCCTGTCTCTAAGGGAGAGCCCAGACACCCTGTGGAGAAAACTCATTTCAGCCGCTTGTATCTGAGATCTTGTTCTTTCGGTCACAACCCAAAGCTCGTGACCATAGATGAGGGTGGGAACGTAGATCGATCGGTAAATTGAGAGCTTCGCCTTTTGACTCAGCTCTCTCTTCACCACGACGGACCGGTACAGCACCTGCTTCACTGCTGACGCTGCACCTATCCACCTATCGATCTCACGCTCCATTTTTCCCTCATTCGTGAACAAGAACCCAAGATACTTAAACTCTTGGGGTCTAAGATCAGTCTGTGTAATGAATGAATCTACAAGTTTCACTTTTTGAATGGAATTACTGAAATAAATCAACTTTTTCATGATGTTGTAATTTTATGAGCAGCAGCTGTACATTTGACATTAATAAGTGGAAAAACATCTGTGACCTTTCACATCTCCATCAGTTAACAACTCCCTTTGTGTTTTAAAGGAAATTTGACCTGAGTCCAAACATGTCAAAGGCTCCAAATTCTCCAGCACGACCCCAATCCAGATCCTACTCCAGATCCAGATCTAGGAGTCTTTCCCGTTCCAGGTCCAGGAAACGTCACTACAGGTGAGTCCAGTTTGTTTTAAATGATTGGCACCAGCCAAGAGCTAAGTTTGTGAACTGATCAGAACCAGGGGAGAGAGTAAGTGGAAAACATCCATGACCTTTACATAAACTTCCCCGTCACATTCAGATGCACAAACTCCTCCACACCACAGGCAACGAACAAGCCGTCTCGTTGTGGTCTCCTGTTGGGAACATTATGTCTTTCTAGTTAAAAGACGTTGTTTCACGGAGATTGGATCTGCAGCAGCAACACGTGGAACTCGTTAACGTTCCTGAAAACGACATCATCCGAACGTGAACGTAGTTTGTTGTAAAGATAGCAGCAGCCTTTAAACAACCTTCATCAGGTCATTCAGGTCGGTCCAGAGCAACAACAAGCTGTAGGAGTTTTTAAAGCTCTGGATCTACGTCTGAATGTTGTTGATGCGCCGCCTTTAAAGTTCTTGAGCCCCGCTACGACATCACGTCAACACTTCAGCCAAAAAGTTGTAGCAGCACTTTATGAAAAACATAAAACTGATCGTCATCAAGCCCTGGACCAGATTAAAGTCCTGCCACATCGATGATGATGAGGGAGAGAGAATGTTCACCCACCTCATGATGAGCGTGTAAGAAGAGGTATTGTTATTGTATTATTGTAATTTAATTTACTTTAAACTTATAATCTTAGTAACACTTTTTTTAAAATCTCTGTGTTGTTTGCAGTCTGAGGATGACAGCAGCTGAGTCTTCTTCATCCACCAGATCACCTCTGTCTGTAAAGACTGAACTTGTTCACTTGGCATATTTTCTAAATAAACATGCGTTCTGCCTTTTGTAGGGCTCTTTAAAAAGTGGCTGGTAATAGATGCGACTTATATGGCAGCAAGTACGGTAATATGAATTCCCCACTTGAACAGATTGTCTAGGTCATATGTGTCACATTCAAGGCCCGGGGGCCAAATGTGGCCCTCGTTGACATCTTATCTGGCCCTCAAGATGATATATGAAACGTAAAATACTTCTATCTCTTGAATTTTTTTCAGTAATCTTTGATTATGATGTCGAAAGCACAACAGAGAACATCAAATGAGACCAATCAAACTCTTGTTGAGGAACCTGTGACCAAGAAAAGAGGTTGTGTATCTGAGTTGAGATAATGTAGTTTCTGAAATTGGCCCTTAGTTTGAAAAAGGTTTTAATTTAGGCCCCCTTTTGTAAGTGGCTTTGACACCCCTGGTCTAGGTGAACACCCAGCTGTAAGAACAGACCTGGTTTATTTTCTGGTCATGAATAAAAAGTGGGACCTGGGGTCGATCAGCATCTTCTGTTTTTCAATAAGTTAAAATAAGAAATGATCACATCGAGTTTTTCTGGACAGTCCTTCAGGTGTTCAGGATTCAGGCATCTCAATAATCTTCAGGATTATTGAGCATGCATCAGGATATCTTCAGGTGTGTATTTATTAGTTTTTGGGGGAGGATGAAAACGACAAAGTGAAACTCCTGTTGGAGTTTGACCCTGCTCGGTGGTGCAGCGTTAAAGGTTAAAGCAACTACACTCTGCCCACACCCCTGTGACTTCCTCCTCCGTCTGTAAAGTGCTGTGTGTATGGGAACATACGATTGAACCCGTCACACCTGACATCACCCAGGTGGAGCAGTGGGCAGCTATGCAAGTGCCCGGGGAGCAGTTAGGAATTGGGTGTCTTGCTCAAGGACGCCATGACGGTGGGTAGTTGAACCTGCCATTGTCTGGTCCCAAGTCGACTGCCCTGCCTCTCCACCATTTTGGACCCCCAGTACATACAGTTATGTAGTAACTTGTAAAAAAAAAAAACTAAGTCAGTTGTCTCGCCTGAGCACTTCGATCTCCTCTGCCGTGTAGCGCTGACCCTGGGGCCCACTGGACTGGACTGGCTGGACTGGTAGGGGCTGCTGTCAGCCATGGAAGGTAAAATCTGGCCCGAGGGGGCAAAACTGGCAGCAGGTCCTCCAGCACTGGCACCACCACTTGGCTTTGTACCAGAAGGTCCTGTCCCGAGTCTGGGAAGAAGTTAATTTGGACTGGGATTCTTTGAGACCCTCGGCCCTTCCAAGGTGGGGGTGGGGGGGAAGACTGCCCTGCGCTGGCTGCATGCATGAAGGCAACAAACGAGGTCTAAATATTTTACAGGATTAAAAGGTGGGTTCTGTTTGTCCCACGGGCTGCTAGTTCTGATCCGCTTCATGTTGGGCTGCTTTACGTTCTGACTCTAGTTTTTAATGTAGAAGAGTCTCCGTTTATTTTCATGACGTCAGGAACTCCTGTTGGATCATTTATGTGTTCGGTTAGCGTTACGGTGCAATTGAGCCGGCGCTGCCAGTGGAGCGGGTTTACCTGAGCTCGGTTCTGTTTTCTGTCGGACCCACACTCCAACTGATGCTGCTGCCATCAGCTGGTCACAACCAGGAACTGCTGATTGTGCCTAGTTCTTACCTGTTCCTGAAGCCAACAAACGTTCATCCCAATGTCACCATCACTTTGGAAGAGCAAAAGTTCTGTGAGCTGAAATAGAACCAGACTCAGCAGACCGTATCTGATGTTATTTCTGATCAGATGCAGGTTTGAATGTGAACGGATGTGTCAAAATGAATTTAACTTCTGGATCAGAAAGAACCATGAAGTAGTAGTATGAACACATCTAAAACAAGGTCCGTTTTCTGAGTGGCTCGGTTCTGCCCACATCTAAACTTTCAAACATTAGAGCCTGAAAGTCCAGGTGATGGAGATCCTCAGCTGTGTCTGGTTCTGGTTGTTTGTAAAGGGCTGAAGGTCTGAGTCCAACTTGTTTGGGCTCATCACGTAATGGACGTCTTTGTTTTTTTCTTGTTTTCAGCTCCAGGTCTCGTTCCCGCTCCCGCTCCCACTCCCCGTCCTACAGAAATTATCCTTCTCGGGACTATCAGAGCAACAGAAGAGGCTTCAGAGGCTACAACCGGGGCTACCGCAGGCCCTACCAGCACCGAGGTCGGAACCGGGGCTTCTACCCCCGCGGCCATTACCAGAACCGAGGAGGGGGCTACGGCTACAAGTCCAACTGGCAGGGTGGGGGAGGGGGCTGGCACGATCGCCAGGACCACTACAGTCCCAGGAGGGGGCACTCCCGCTCCCGCACACCTAAGAAACGCTCGGGCAGCCGGAGCCGCTCCCGCTACTCTGACCGCTCGTCTTCGGGGCAGTCTCGGCACTCCAGGCGCTCCAGCTACTCCTCGCGGTCCCGTTCCCGGTCCTCGTCTCCACGACATCGCAGCAACAAGGCTCGGCCCAGCTCCAAAGAGTCCAAAGAGAAGCAGCCGGAGAGTCCGGCAGAGAAATCCCCTCAGCCCGCAGAAGGCAACGTCATCGAGAAAGCGTCTGGAGGAAAATGGATCGACTTCGACGCCAGCCCCAAACGGGGCAGCCCAGGCTTCAAGAAGGAGGAAGTTCCTGAGAGCAAAGGGCCCGGGAGTGGAGGCCCTCTCTGGAAAACCGTCGGTTCGTCATCCCCTCCGGCAAAAAGCCCCACCAAGTCTGGACAGACGGCCTCGTTCAGCGGCTTTGGGTTCTTCGCAAAGGAAGAGGCCAAAGCCGGAGATAATACTGTGATCTCTGCCGCCTTCAAGAAGTATGTCTGTTTTATTTCCTCACACTGACGGTTCTTCTTCTTTGTCTTTCGAACATGTTGACCTGCTTCACACTTCTGGTGGATCTGATCTCTGGAAGCAGAGTTCATCTGAGATCTGGCTTTAAAAAGTTCACTGTGATTAAACAAGCTGTTTAATGGTTTCCATGGTAACGGTTTTACCTGCTGGAATCTTCATGTTCTCTCAGAATATTGTGCTGATGTTAAAGTCTCAATAATCTTAACATGCCGTGTGGAGACAGCAGAAATGGTTTTGATCCTGCTTGCTGTCGCACTGATTAAAGATGACCTGGTGCTGCAGGTGGAGCTCACCTGACGTCTCTGTTTCAGGTTCATGGCTGACAATAAAAACAAAAAGGCGTCGGAAAAGAACAGCCGAGAGAAGGAGCTGGTGGCTACAGACCGAGAACCCGAGAAAAGCTCCAAGTCCTTAGAGCTCTTCAGCATGTCTTCAGCTTCATACTCTGAGCCCAAAGAAGAAAAAGTTCTGCCCTTTTTCAACCCGGGAGAGGAGGAGTTCCTCCAGGCACAGGGTCTGAAGGACCAGATCATCGACGAGGAGCTCGAGGCCAAACCCACCCTCTCAGCCAGGGACATTTTTGGAAAATGGGGCGATGAGCCGAGCTACTCCACATCGTACCTGTCCGTGAAAGAGCAAGGCTGCAGAGAGCCTGAAGAAGTTGAAGACGACATGGAGGAAGAGCTGTACCGAAACCGCAAACATGTGTCCAAGAAAGAGGAGAAGTCCAAGAAAAAGGAGAAGAAAGAAAAAGAGAAGCCGAAGAGGAGCATGTCCCCCCCAACAACGTCCAGAGACAAAGAGCGTCCGCTGTTTCCTGGAGCCTTTCCTCCTCGGGAACAGTCTCCTGTTCGTCTGTCAGTCTCCAGGAAGGACTTCGAGCTCAAGATCAGCTCTTTAGATGACATGCCCAGGTACATGCACGTGCACACACACACATACTAGGGATGGGGCTGATCCGGTATCGGCCTCCGATACCAGCATAATTTACATATCGGATTTTTCCGATCCAAAAGGCAGAGATTTCCGATCCATGATGCATGTCTACGTCTGCTGAAACGTCGTCTCGTGATTCCTGCCGGCTGCTCTGCAGGTTGGCTTCAAACTATGGAGTAGTTTACACTAGAAACACCACAAGACGGCAACGTGCAATGTCTGCAGAGCCGCTGCACCGAGAGGAGGAGGCTCAGTCACGACCTACAATGCAACAAACTTAATAAACATTTGAAAAAGCACCACATTAAAGCGCACGAGGATTGTTTAGCCAGGCACTGCGGTAACGTCAGTTTTATGTTGGACGTTCGAGCTCCGTGGCTTCAGCGGTGCGTTCCTCTCGTTCAGTCCGAAGCAGACAGTCTGAGTTCAGTCTGCCCGTCTGGAGGAGCAGACTGAACTCAGACTGTCTGCTTCGCAGCTTGATTGAATATTTGCAGCAAAAAGTTTACGTTTACCCTTCAGGAGATATTTATCTGTACAACAGTAGAAAATTATTTTAAAAAAACATATGAAATTAAAAATAAAAGAAAAGGATATTTAAAAACATGAAACATAAACAGCTACATTATAAATCGATGCAAAATACTAAAAACGAACATGTCTGTGTTGGTTTATGCCATGAACTTAGCAGATGTTTGAAGCCATTTAATCACTTTAATATCCACTTTAAAGCTAGGAATAAA